TCGCAGTGTGTGGCCGAAAAGCGAGTGAGTTTTACACTTTTCAATAACAACTCTGTATTTCTGCTGACGCAGAGTCAGGAATACTATGGATAGAGCATGAGCAAAAGCGGACGACTATCTCGGTTACTGTACCATATAACGTTCGGTCATATCAACCATCGTGTCTAATCAAGGAGCACGGGGACGAAACCTAACGATGGTCTTAGAGGAGTCATGTATTACATGACATACTTAGGCATATGAACAGCTTATGATTTTTATGCCGCCTCATATAATGAGTACCAGATTTGAAATATTGTTCATTATGGGCGCTAGATAGCTCTATCTACTGCAAGCACTCGAATTCCATAGAGCCGTAGACTACCTAAATGCCCACTCCCTCCAAGTAACTGCGAGTAAGGTGTAATGCAATGCAGCGTGAAATCTGATACTGAGCAGTTATGCATTGTCTGTGAAACTGGTTCATAAAACATGTCAGGTTATCATGCGAAAACTAAGAACTAATGGGAAAAGTAGCTTTTCTTTGACACTTAAAATTTGATGCCCATATGCATTACTTCACTTACAAAATCCACAAATGCGTCGAAATAATTAGTGTTAAGAGGCTGAAAGGCAGCAACCGCAAAATTCAAATATTTCATTAGAATCTGATTTTCTAAACCCTAATATTTCTGCCAACACCAATACGGTGCAAATCGTAATATTTTGTCAACATTGTTCAACGATTCCGAAAGCTTCTGGACAATAAAAATGATTTTTAGGTATTTTATCGTTTAGTGCTTCATGCTTAAAATATATGAATCCGTCATTTCAGAGTTATGCTCTAGATGATGAAGATATACAACAGCATCAGTATTCTGTCAGTCATTCACAACAGCTATGATTCTATCACCTGCTTGGCAACACTTCACTATTAAATTATTACATTACTATTATGATTATATTTATCATAAATCAGGTGGTGCCTGCAGTCTTGAAAGAAAATTAAAGATCGTGATGAAAACAAAAACATTATAATTATAATTTATGGGTCTAGAAAGTGAAAGGATTGAAGTAAAGTGGTGAGAGGTTCGTGACGATTAAAACGTTCGCAGGATATAGACGTGATGGCACAGTGGAAAACAGGCACGCTGTGAGCTGCGGAGGGTGCCGAGTTAAAATCAGAGAAGGCACAATCTCTATCGTAAGAGCGAATCAAGGAAGCAACCCACGTTACTTTGGTGAAACTGGTCGAGAAACGGGTAAGAACTCGTTAATTTGAGAATAAGAGCTACAGCATGGCAAAATTAAGAGACGCAAGACTGTGCTGCGGTCTAAATCAAGTGTTTTTGCGGCTTCACTTTCTCCTGACCCATGTGACAGCAGACCATCCAGTGCAATAAGCAGCATATGGTATAACCAAGATGTTGATTTCCATTTATTGCGTGTTTTCGGTCTATGAATCCTTCAAAACAGCAAATCTTCTAATCCGATGGCGGACAAATTTTATTTCGCAATCGGTTCGACTAATTCACAGTATTCATCATCAAGGAATATCAGTTTACGTAGAGCGGTTCTTAAAACGTGCGTTTTTCAGAGATGAACAGGAGGGCAAAAAATACGCGCGTATTTACGTTACAGCTGAAACACAAAATCAGAGTTCCATCAGGAGACTCTGATCATAAAGAATGAGAAGCGCAAAAGCAAGATCCAGCCTTGTTAAAACATACATTTTAATATAACTTATTAGGCTCCTATAAATTAGTCCTGTTGCCTTATCTTCATTCATTTTGCATTTTCTAACTGCTATGTATTTGTATTTTTACGATCTGTTGTGCATTACGCATACACTATTATGGTTATGAAGTGAAACGGTTATATATGTGTAAACAGACCTGAAGGTGTTCTGTTTATTGAAAGTTTCAAGAATTTCGAGGATATATTTCGAGAACCATTTGATCCAGGGCACAAACAAGGGGTAGTGAAATCATAAAACGACTTCGGATTGCTGTGTACAGATGTTGGGAACTCGTTAGAGTATGCGAAAGAGAATAACTCGGCGATGCAACCACAAATGCACAGAAAACAACCTCAAGCAGGTCATATTTAACAGAAAAGTGGAGGACAGATGGCATCGTCTCTTGGTTACCTCGCATATTAAACCGTCCACCGCAGCTACTAACAAAATTTATAAAGAAAACAAATGTAAAGGGCGATTTCCATACTTAGATAAGATTATTTTTTCAATATATCGTGAAAACAGGTCTGCCATAGAATATATATAATTCATACCACAGACAGAAGTGATTTCTCCAACCATGACTGCACTTTGAGTTCCGCAACCAAGCCCCAAATATCCGGCTTTAGGCACACTTTTGCTAAATACATACACCTCTTGCCGAGAATCTCGATGTTAGACGCACTGATCGCAGCGAGGCCGCTGGTAGCGATCAGCGACTGATCAGGAACCTGAAACATCTGCACCAAACTTAAGAACATTACAGCACAATTAACATATTAATTGTAGCTAAACAATATTAACAACTTTTATTGCTTGAGGATGAATCAATCATGATTCGCAGCGTTATCATATAACGTTACTATGCAGTATAATATTGCAAATGAGCTGTTGTCATATATATACTATATAGTATAAAAAACTATACCACATGCAGTATTTAGAAACATTAAAGACCACTTACAAATCAACTATACAGCGTCAATGCAGCAAGTTTTAACTGCTCTCGATCGTTCGCAACAATACTGACACTACGTCTCTTGTTCATTACGGTACAAGTTAGCCTACTTTTCTAAGAATTTATCGGATACCGTAAAGGCATTTCTCATTTGAGAGTATGCTGGAAGATTGTTCTCGAAAAGCATCTGCTCTGCACAACAATGCGTAGCTAGGCCATGCAGTTTACGAAATTAACATAACCAAAAATCGTAACTATTCACCAGCTTGTTAATTGAAAATTCCGATTCTTCGTCCTGTTAGAAGTCAAGGAAATAAGTAGGACTAAATGTTAGCATGCAACAAAACGCTGTTACATTTCAAACAAGTATTTCGTTTTAAGATTGAATAGGATGCTAATATGATGTCTGTGAAACTGAAAGCAGAGAAAAGCTAACGGCTTTGTAAGTATATCCTAACTGAAAAGGAATTACTGTTTCATACGGCAAACTTTCATGGGCATAATCATCCTCAATTTCCTGAATGCCAAAAAGTTTTCCAGTTAAATGGCTGCAAGGAGCAAGAGAGTTCAAAGGCTTAATTCTAGCCACTTTCAGACAACTACTATATTTATTGTCATCACCGTTGAAAATCAATTTTTTACTGTACAAAATAGACTCTTGA